AATAGACCAGGCAGCCACTATAAGATAGTGCAAAGTTTTTGGAAAACATGTTATCATAATTTTCCAAAAATGCCTGTTAACCAGTTTTAAAGAGTTATTGCTTCTTATTATTTAATAAATTTAATCTCTGCTATTTTTCATTATTTGTCAAGTTCATTACAGATTTGTGTGGCATACATGAAGGTTGCTTCTCTGTGTTTGTTTCTGGTTCTGTTCATTGTCTTCAAAGTTTCTTATTCAAAGATGAGAGAATGACTAAAATCTGAGCTACAAAATGCATTTCAATAGCATTTTCAAGGCAGCAGGAGGACTTTCACTTTCAAGTTAAACCACCTTCAAATTTTTTACACTAATATTGAATATTGATAAGTCAAAACACAAAGTATGTACACCTCAAAAACTTTGACAATGTGTGAATCTTAAGCAGCATTAAGAACAAGATTGTTACATATTTTTGGAAATAAAAATTACTTTGGGTTATACTTAAGATGCAAATGCTTTTTTCAAAGAAAATTGTGCTGTTTACATATTTTATTTGGCAGATACGTTTCAACATTTTTTAAAGTTTATGTCACAAAGTATATGCATAGTAATGTATTTGTCAATATTTATTAGCCATTGTATGTAAATACTTTAAACAGCAATAACATATGATTTAAGTTTTCAGTTGCCAAGAACTAAAATCTTTGTGTATTATAAAATCCCTCTCTGAAATCATTTGAAGTCTACTGTAAAATGTATGTTTAGTCAACGTTTAAAATTACTACATCAGGATCAAATAACTTATTATTCATCCATGAGAAATTATAATCAATACACTTAAAAAATATTTTTCAAACTTTATTAATTTCTACAATATATGTTTTACACAACTACTACGTATTACTTTGGCCATCTTCCTTCAATTAAATTAAGTCAAAAATATTCAAGGTGTTAAACGGAGAATTAACCAATACAATTACCATTGAAATAAAAATTTATAAACAGGCAATATAAGTAACACGTTTTCCAAAAACTGTCATTGCCATCCCCCCAAACATCGGCACCAGTTGTGACAGCTCTGAAACATCCTGGACACCTAACAGCAGCTCTAGTGGAAGCCAGACTCAGCTGTTACAAAGGTGCCGAAACCAATGGCATCCCTGNTCCCNGCTGTGTATTTGATTAATTCAAAGACAGAAGGAGTCGGCTGGATTATTCAGATGAACTTTAATAAATAAATAGGATGAACGGATCATACATGATATACAAAACGTATAGGAATTCAGCTAACATAAGTCTTTCTGTGAAAAAAAAAACCTCTTATTAAATTCTTTCTTCTTCGTCTGTCTTCAAGTTCTTCTACTACTAATAAAGCATCATGGGATATGTAGTCCATTTTCCGAAGTGTTACGTAAGCTAACACTTAGCCGTAAGTGTTAGCTTACGTAAGTGTTAGTCGTAAGCTAACACTTACGGCTAGCCCCGAAAACAGTGGCACTAATGGCAGGAGTCAGCGGAAGTGCCAGTATGAGGTGCTGAGGTCAGGCTCAGTCGAGGTCAGCCCAAGTCAGCCGAGGTCAGCCGAGGTCAGTGGCAACACTGACAGCTAGACCCGAAAACAGTGGCACTTGTGGCGTGTAATGACACCTGCCACCGGAAGTGCCATTAGTAGGTGCGGTGTCACGATTTGCGCTCGGCCCTGCTGTCTCTGTGGGTCTGAGTGGGTTTCTGTGGGTCTCTGTGGGTCTGTGTAGGCCGGGTTCTGCGTTCTGACCCAGTCCTGACCCGGTTTGTGGTTATTGTTGCAGTGCCTGGTGCGGTCCCAGTGGACTCCATCCTGGGCCGCAGCTATGAGCAGCAGATCGGGCTGAGCTGGAGGGAGCCACAGCACACCTACGGCCTGATCCGCCACTACGAGGTCAGAACAACCGCATTTCTCTCAAAGCTGAGGTGCGGCCGCCAGGCGCTCACGCTACTCTCTCCACAGATTACCTACAAAGCTCTGAGCTCTTTCGACACAGAGTTTGACCTGTCCAATCAGAGCGGCAAGGTGCTGAAGGCGGCCAATGAGACAAGCCATGTGTTCTCGGGGCTGTTGCCAGGCTCCACCTACTCCTTCACAATAAGAGCTTCGACCATCAAGGGCTTTGGGCCCCCAGTTATCACCCAGTTCACCACCAGGATCTCCGGTCCGTCGGCTCTGGTTTGTTGTTCTGGTGAAGATGCCCCTGTCTCTAACCCCCTCTTGTTATTTACCTCCAGCCCCCCTGATGCCACCCTATGACCAGGAGTCCCCTCTCAACCAGACTGACTCATCTGTCACTGTCCTGCTGAAGCCTGCTCAGAGCCGCGGCGCCCCTGTCAGGTAGCCCTGGGCACGCCGCCCACCTTCACACCTGGCAGAACCTCCTACAGTCGTTCTGCCAAGTGTTACCATGGAAACAGTTGCCATGTGGACAAGCTGTGGGGCAACCAGTGATTGGGACAATTAAGAAGCGGTGGGTGGGGCCAATTTGGAACTGGGTCAGGTTCTAATGGAACCACCTTGTTCCTCTGAGCTGCAGAACGCTGGTGTGTGTGTGTGTGTGTGTGTGTGTGTGTGTGTGTGTGTGTGTGTGTGTGTTGCCTCGGTGCTGCAGTGGAAGCCGTCAGATGCGCTTTGTGTCGCCGTGTTTAAATTTAACTGAGCTTTGAGCTCCGACAGCGCAGCTTCACATCGCGGGACAAAAGGTGTTGCTGCGGGCGACCTGCAGCTGTAATCAGATTACTGTCACACACACACTCTGCGAGCATGGAGGAATGTGATTGGAGAGGGTTTGTCAAAGAAGAAAGGGGATAGAGAGAAACAAGAGTGGGAGGAAAGAAAGAGAAATAAGTAGTGGTGGAGCTAGAGTATGTACATATATATATATACACACACACACATAAAAACTGAAAGTCAATAGGTAAGTCACCCGACTTCCACCAAGGAGACCCGGGTTTGATTCCAGGCCGGGTCAAAGATACAACAGTAAAATTGAGCTATCCACTGTGGGTCCTTAGACAAGACCCTTTGAGCTATAGCCTACCTCATACCATGAGGTATGTCCATTCCATCAAACATCTCCTGGCATGTCTAGGTGACATTAAAGCTTGGTTGGCCTTGAACTTTTTAAATTTAATGAAAAGAAAACAGAGGTGATGGTGTTTGGACCCAGTGGCTCCTGTGAGTCCTCCTCTGTGGACCTGGGACCCTTGGAGGAATATTTTAAACCTGTCATTACAGATCTTGGTTTTAAGGTGGACAGTGATCTCAGATTGGACGGCCAAATCAGAGCCGTGGTTAAGTCCAGTTTTTATAATTTAAGGCGATTGGCGTCAGTGAAATCTTTTCTTTCCAGGTGTAACCGGATCCTTTCTGCGTTGTGCTGGTTCTATTGATTGATCAGGCCGTGACACGGTTTGTCTCTAAAAAGATGATTCTCGGTTTATTCTGGCGAGAACAAAATACAGAAAACAACCGTGTTAAAGGCTGCCCGCTCCAAGTCCTACACAAAACAAAAAGTAACTTAATAGATCTATAAATAAACTGAATGTATTTAGATGAAAAATAAACAGCACACACCTCTCCCACAGGACAACATGACAAAAAGGGGAGGGGCAAAGTGGCGCAAACAATTTAAAGATAATACCACAGAAGAAGAAATAAAGAGGGGCTTCCGATCTTAAAGTAACACAGTTAAAACAATGACAGAGTTGTTTCAGTAAGATAAGAAACAAGACAAATAACCAAAAAAATAAATTTTTGTGTTATTATAACAAAAGAGAAATACAACCAGGTTACACAGGCAGCATTTTGAAACAGTGATCCAGGCTTTTATTTCGACTCGACTGGATTACTGTAACTCACTTTATCTGGGAGTCNCACAAAGATAAGACGACACACCACTGGAAGCTCGCACATGCTCAGTCCTCATCTCTCTAGTCTCAGCAGAGTTAACCACATTACTGTTACATGGGTCAGTAATTAATACCAATCAGTAACCAGCAGTGTGTGTGTGTGTGTTTGTCTCTCTGTGGGTATTCATGAATTTGAAACTGTTACAATCTTGCCTGTATTGAGCCAGAGCGATCTGATGAAAGATGATTCAATGAGTGGAGTGCAGCCTCAGATGTTTTTGTTTTTTAATTTCTTACTGCAAGAAGAAAGTTGAGGATGGCAGTGGTAGCAGAAATCCATCAGACCCAGATATCTGAGCAGGTTTTTCTTTTTCTTTCTTGTTGCTTTGTGTGTGTTGTAATTTTTAAGTTGGGTTCTGTGAACTAGTTCTGAAAGTGAGTTTCTTGCCCACAGTAAACAGACGGATTTGCATTAAGAGGCAGGTGGGATTAGTGACAGGAAGCCACGCAAAGTGCTGCTAAGAATAGAACAGTAACATTTCTAGCAATTGAATTAATCAAAACCTTAAAAAAAAATCAATCAATCAACATAGTGATTTAAATAAGTGCTAATTTGTGGTTGACTTCAGTGTTTTACTTCAACATCAGGTATTTTATTCCATCTATAAAAAACCTGAAAAATGACTCATACAGTGTCTGGAGTTAAAAACCACAAGATGACAAAGCGGCTATAAAGTAATGGATTTTTAGGTAAAATTAGATGACAAAATGTGGGTCTTGTTTGTTGTGTTTATACAACAAACAAGAAAAAAATAACCTTGGAAATTACCAGAGTTACTAATAGAGAAAAGGAAATAATACAGCAAAATTAAAATGCTAAGTGGAAGTGAAAATGTGATTGAGGAAACGGCAAAAAGGTCAAATTTAAAAGTGGAGATGAATGTATTGAAGTGCATTGAAATGGTGCAGATGTTGTCAAATACACTTGTAATTTGGAACATTTATGTCTGTAAGTGAATTATTCAGCTTTGGTTTTCTGTATCGGATCGTATCGGCCGATACTACACCTCAGATATTGGTATCGGAAGTGAAAAAAAAAAAAAAAGGTTGGTGCATCCTCAAATGAAACACGAAGAAATAAAGTAGCATGTTTACCTTTAGGGTTGGTGAAAATGTTATTGAGTAGCTATGATTAGTTAAACAAAAAAATCTAAATTTAAAAGTGTGAGTGCGAAAAAGTTCAGGGGTTGTGAATCCTTTTGTAAACATTACGTGGTTAAAAGTCACAGACCAAGTTGATATTCTTAATAGTTATGCATTCGGAACATCCCTGATGAAACGGGAAGTAAAATTGGACTTGCTGTTTTCAAGAATAACTTTCTGAACTCCTGAATTTGGCCTGTCAGCAGCAGCAGCACCGGCAGCAGCTGGCTGAGCAGGAGCGGATCAAGCAGATTCTGGCCGACCGACAGAGGCGGATCCAGCAGCAGCAGGAGCAGCGGCAGAAGCTGGAGAACGTGAGTCAGTTTCTATCTGTATTCAATATGGCTCCAACCTCTGAACCCTATCTGTCGCCTTCAATCATTATCATCGTCATCATCACCAAGTAGCTCACGTCAGCTGCTCTGCTGCGGCCAAAGTGTTTTTGCAACCTGATTGTTTTTCTTTTTAAGAAAAAAAAAAGTAAAGAAAAGAGACGACAGCTTGAGTCCTGATGTTGAAAAGCCAAAAGGAACAAAATGGTATCTGAAACATTCAATGCCTCTGCACTCCACAGCAGCAGAAGCAGCAGCTGACGGAGTGTGCCTTTCAGTGGGCGGAGCTTCAGGAGGTTTTTATGGGGGAGGAGTCTGATCTCCACGACAACAGAATCCTACTGGAGGAGAAAAACAGGAAGTGTGACAGGAGACAGGTAAAGATTCAGAGTTTTGCACATGTAGAGGCTGAAACATCAAGTCTGCTCACAGATTCAGTTAACAGACTTAAAACTAAACTGTTTCATTGCAGCTCTGGTTGCATGTTTCTTAGATTTTTTTATTCTCTGGATGGTGAACTTTCACCCCAACTCCAAGCCTTTTTGCAACTTTTTACAGAAGTCAGTGCAATTAGGAGTTGTTTTGTTTTGAGCTTCAACCATTTCTCATCAACACTAATTAGCTTCCGTGTCCCGACTGATGAAAAGTTTCACCGCAGCATAATACTGATCCACTTTTTTTCTTTTTCGATACCGATATCTGATGTTTATTATAGGCCAATGTGATTTGATACAGAAAAACAGCAGTGAATTGACTTAAAACTTCTTTCTTTTTTTTAACACAGACATAAATGTACCAAATTACATATTAATTTGCTAACTTTGCAGCAGTACAACACAGTTAAATACACCAGTAGCTTCATATGTTTGGTCAAACATGTAAAAACAACTTTAAGTTGTTCAGTCAGTTCAATAAGGAGTAAAACAACCAATATAAATTAAATAAAGAACTAAAAACTGACAAAAACAATAAGTTGACCACTACTTGGTCAAACATGAGAAAATAAACTGCTGCAAACTTTATTTGAAATGGTGCATGAAGTGCAATTAGGAATTCTAAATATAATTTAAAATAAATAAAGCAAGACATCTCTCAGAGCACAAAGCACAGAATTAGACTGAATAGATCTGCCCTTATTGATTGTGCACATTGTCACCAATACACCATTAGAATTTGTTTCAATATCAAGACCGATACAGATATTAATATCCAAAAAAAATGTGATTTATATCACTGAGTTGCACACTCTAATTGGGTGTTATCATATTTTTAAATTTACTAATATTTGTTGTTGCTATTGTGAAACAAAAAGTCGCAAAAATGGTAAAAAAAAAAAAGTATATATATATATATATATATATATATATATATATATATATAAATAAAATGTATTCTGTTTTTTAAAAACATTATTAATTGGAATTTATTTGTACAACTATAACTCAATATCCATATTGTACTGAGAAACCTTTCACAATATATGATAAACGATACTAAACTGAATATAATCAGATATTTAGAGCCCAACTCCAGAAGAAGATATGGAATTTAAAATGCAGAGTCGTGAAAATAATTGGGCCGTCCTCCTCACATCCCCTGATCTACATGAGTAGATGAAGGCTGATGACAGCCTTCTCATCTCAGAGGAGAAATACAGACAGGAAGTTGGGCTGAAGGAGGATGAGGAAGCCGCTCCGTGTCATACGTCACCAGCACAGAGGAAGTGCCATATATATGTGAACATGACAGACATGTAGCAAGATGCTTGACTTGATACAGATGCTCTCAAGTGATACAAACAAACTTCGACTTAGAACACTGAATTTCATTTAAAAAAACACACACACACACATTAGGTACAGAACACAGAATGAGCTTAGGTTTTCTTCTCTAGTTTCTAATTAAAAAATTTATCTTCTCATTTTTCTACAAAATATCTGACATTCTCTCAAAATGTAAGTCAACCCGTAGAAATAATTCCAACTTTCTTTTGAAAATGTGTTGGAAAAAACAAAAACCAAACAACTTGGAGTAACAGCCGAAACGACTCTTCCTATTCTGCCAATAATTTCAGCTCTACTCTACTCAGACCGAGCTCTGGGTTTCAGGAGGTCTACACTGAGGGTCTTTTCAGACCTGATATTCTGGTAGACTCAGTTTGATCGGGGACCAAAATTGCAACGTTTGTTACATTTGCAGCTGCTGTGGTTCTCTTTCACTCTGCATTGTGTCAAACAAGCCAATCCCTTTGAAAAACCTGTTCCCCTCCTCACCTTTGGAGGCGCTACACCAAGAACTACTGAAGAAAATGACACAAAATCTTCTGAAGACATGAGCAAAGCTTTCTTCTTCACAAAATGTAAACAGAAATTTAGAGGCATCAGATTTGAGTGGTTTTTGGATTCTCCTGGTTGTGCTAGACTCGCATGTTTTTTCAGATTGTTTTTCCCAGAATGCCCTGCATTGTAGTCCACTTCCTGCTTTTTTTCCACGTATGCATTCAAACTGCACTAGAGTTCATTTCAACCGGACTGAGACCCAGGTCTTTAGGCAGACCAGAGGTCACTTTTCTTTTCTGATTTCGCACTAACACCTAAAAAACTGGATTTTCCAGACAAACGAACTAGAGTTCAGTTAAAGCAGAGCTGGTGTGAATTCACCCTAATAGACCCTCCTGAAATATCTATCATCCCATTATGCTCTGTATGTGTAGTTTCATCGTAGATGCGGCGGTAAGCAGTCACTGACTTCAGCATGGTGCTTCATTAAATTTTAATGCATCAGTATTTGATTACGTGACACGCTCAGTGAGTGTGTGATGTGATGTTTTGTCAGATAAAGATGTGAAATGGTGCAGTGATTACGACCATCTTGCATATCAATTCCTACAGCAACCAGAAGTGTGTCAGCAGGGAGGGGAAGCTTGTTAACAGGAAAAAGGGAAATGACGACTTTGAAACAGAAGTCTCCGATGTAGTCCACATATCTGCCTCGTCCTTATCGGCTTATCAGGACAGGAAGTGTGAAGTGTGACTTCCTTTATATAGACATACAACCTGCAGCTGGACATATTGTCAACTTTGTCTGAATGCTAGTTGTCATATTTTTAATCAAATCTGTTTCCTCCCACTGCGGTGTTCTACCTGGGTATTCTGACCGTCCCTCTCAGATGAGGAGAAATGTGTCCAGTTAAAGTCCAGTTGTCTTTTATTCATCCTCTAATTGTTTGGCTTGTCCTGAAAGCAGGCCAACTTTTTCTCATAGTTCTGCCCTCAACTCGATTGAAAACTAGCAATATTAAAAACTTTTATCTGAACTAGAAACCAATCAGTTCAAATGAACTTTTCCTGATCTGCCAAAGCTAAAGAGGCCAAATCTCCGACCAGAATTAGAGCAGAAGCTCATTTAGTAAACCTGCTTGTATATATTTGAGTCTGTACATTTGCTTTGGCTCTGTGTGGATTGAAGAAAATCCACAGTAAATCCAGGCGGTTCAGTTCTGGTTTTCAGTTTTATTATTGTTCCAACATGGGGGGAAAGAGACAGTTATCCTGATGATGATTACACAAAGCTCTCTAATTCAACCAGCATGTGTCTGTCAGTGACGTCATTTCTTCTTTCACGCTTCTTTGCTGTAAAAGTCCTGTGATTCCTACCTCATCCCCGATAGTTTACACTTTCCCACCGCAGCTGTGTGATCAGGGCTAAGCCGCCGCCGTCATGGCTTAAGCTCCGACGAATGTGACCCCTCAGGTTCAAGCAAACACAATTTAAAAGCAGCGGTGCAATCACTGCAAACATTGAAATCTGGTGATTACCCGACGTAAATGTTACAAAAAACATGCCCACTTTAGGGTGTTTAGATTTTTATTTTTATTTTCTGCTTCAGGAGAAATTTTCAAAAATGAGGTCACAATAAAATATTTAGAGTTGACAGCGCAGGCTAAAAAGCTCCACACTGAATATTTTAGTTCCCACCTCTCAGAATCCTACCAATTACGATAACCGCTGTTTACAGCGTTCAGGTCTGATCAACGGGAAATCCACGACGACAGGAGTTTAGATTTCAAACTAAGTAAAAAAAAAATCTGTGAAATTCTAATGAAATTCTAATTCTAATGGACATACTGATGGATTTTTATTTAATTTAATTATTTTTTTAGCGAATAGCTGCCTGTTTAAAAGTGTGTGTGTGTGTGTGTGTGTTTGAACAGGATCATGCTGGCAGACAGCGGAGTGACAATGTGTCAGTAAGGCCTCTGGACTCCACAGCCGAGCAGGTAATAAAGCTTTTCTTGTGCTTTTCCAATTACATGGTGCTAATTCCTCTGATTTAGCTACAAAGGAGCCGAATACTTTTTTTTCTCCTTTTATTTTTATTTTATTTTATTTTTTCACTTTTTCCTACCTGAAGGACCACTAGTTTAGGGGCGGGGGGTTCATCCAGTTTTACCTCATTCTGTGGTTTTAAAGACAATAATTGCTATTTCCATTCAGGGTTGCATGGAGCGCTAAGTGGAGTTTCTCTTTACGTTTTCACTTTTTTTATGCATCAAAAGCTTTTAATCGAGTCGGATATGAGACGACGACGTCTTCTTTTTTGTGTAATCGCTGAAGGCTGATTTCCGAGAGAAAAGCCTTGAATGGTTTGGTCCCCGACTCGGACAGATGGGAGATAAAAACGAAGCGTGCGGGTGAAGCTAAGCAGGAACATGAAAGGGAAACCCAGTGAAATTGTGTGCTTGTAATTGAAAGTGTTATAAATAGACCGGGGGGGGATTTATCCTGTCGAAGATCTCCACGAAGCAGATGCTCAACGACTTTTGATATGTTTTGGGGTTTTTTCGTTGTGCAGACTGAGTGGGACAACGGTGATATGGGGGGGGGAGCTGTGTTCTACTACCACTTTAAACCGGTGTTTATCACAGCATGCCATCACTTTTGTTTTAAACCCTCGCTCTTCATATCCGTCCTGTCTCCGCTGAGCCCAGCGTGCTTTCCTCCACTTCTCTCCCCTCCTCTTGCTTGCCTTTTTTTTTTTTTTCCGTCTATCCCTGCCTGAGTCGGTCACAGTAGGAAACCTTTCTTACTTGTAGCGTTTCTCTTTTAACTCTACTCCCAGAATCGTACCTTCTGATCTCAGCGGGAGAGGCTTTAGACGCACAGATTTGGCAGGGGGAAAAAAAATCACGCCTGGATTCACTGTCGCTTTTTGATTTGCAAACACTTTTTATCTACTAACCGTTTTTAATTCCTTTCTGTGACTCCCTACAACCCTACTCATGTACATATGGATCTCAACTGGGTCGTACGGTACTGCTAGGAGTTCAGATTTATGTGGTGTAAAAAATGAACCATGATAAATTAAACTTAAAGGGGCAGTATTATGTTTTCCAGGTACATGGTGCAATTTTATAGCACAATATGATAACTAAAGGAACTTAAGTGAAATATAGCTTAAAAGAAATTTGACATTGGAATTCAACGCCTTGAAATTGGGCCTCTGTCTCTTTAAGAAACTCCTGTTTTTTCTGAAATTCCACAATCGCTCCTTTATTAACCCTTTAGCAATGTTTTTCTCAGCATTACTCCTATCATCATCATTACATGATGATGAACCGACATGCAGTTCCACCGGGTATTTGCTAATTGTTGCAGACTAGTCTGAAGGAGTTCATGCTGTAGTTATCCCACTGTCATATTTCACTAATCATATTGTGTTATTTTTATTATAAAGACGACTGGTTTTTTATTGTTGTTGTTGGTTTTGGAAAGTTTTGGTCCAAACATCTACATTATGCATATAATTATCCTAAAAGACATTTCCATAATAATTTGTAATGTGACTTAATTCTTTAGTCCATCACTATGGAGAACAAAGGAGGTCAGTGAGGTTGTAGTCAACCTCTAGTTCTGTCGACAAGTTAATACGAGCAGGAAAAATATTAGAAAATGCTAAAACCGAATCCACAAAGATGCCCTGACTCTTTATTCGTTTAAAGGTGTTTTCGCTCTCGCAACTTTTTGTGGCTCCCTCTCCACCCCCTCGCCTCGCATTCTTATGTTTTCTACTCGTAATAATAAACAGCGTCACGACTTGAACGCGCTCGGTGTCGAACAATGCTGAACAGCAGCGGGGAAAGCATGCTGGGTATTTAAAACCTGCGTGCCAGTCATACAGAAGAAAACTGCATTAGGTCTCAGGCATTTTCCTCTCCAAGGAAGTGATGATCCAAATCTTCCCCTTGGCGGTCTGACGTGTGAAAGCCTCGCTCATGTCCCAGTTTGACTCGCTGATGGCCTGCAGTGACCTTTCTCTTGGTGGAGTTTACTTTGAAGAACCCTCACTGCGGTCTTGGTGTTCGTCCTCCAGAGAAGTGAAAATGCGTATCGGCACCATGTGGTAACTTTTAGCCAGATGATCTGATTTTGGACGTGTAGATGACCATTTTGTAGCGTGATTGCATTTGCGGCGTAGAAAGTTGTTTCTGCTAAATTAGAAGACAAAGGACTTCTTTAGCTCGGTACTGTGCTGTTTCTGCTCTACATGTTTGTCTAGGTGTGTTTGTTTTGTTTTGTTTGTTGTTGTTGTTGGTCACATCCTCCCCAGCTTAATGATCCAGTGCTTGCTAATGAGCTTTCTGTCATGTCACTGCTTTGTTTTCTTGCTGGCTTTCAAAAGCTGGCAGCGACGTGCAGTACAGATAAAACGCATCATCATCTCTTGCATCTTTCTCTCATCAACTCAAAAGTCCATCCTTTTATAACAGAAAATGTAACACTTTGCAACAACATTTACAGACCCTTTTAATAAATCAGAATATGGATTGAAAAGTCAATTTATTTCAGGAACTATAGATACGTAGCATGTTATTGTAACGTCATGCATACGCACCATGGAGGATGAAAAGACGATTCTTTTACTTGCCATCCGTAGCCGAGCTGTCACGGACTCAGTAGGACAATTGCATTAACTAAATGAAACTACTTGTCAGATTTCTATTTGTAAAATAAGACAAACAAAAACAAACAGCCCCATTAAAAAACAGAGAGGTTTGTGGTTGTGATATTAAAATGTGAACAAGTTCAACAGGTGTAACAACCTTTGGCATGTTTTTATGTTTTAAAACCTAACAACCATGTAGCATGTTAAAATTGTTCACTTAAATATTACATTGCCGCAGTTGTTTTCAGTCTTTGTCAGTCTGTGTGTGCTGCTTTCCGTGTCTGCCACATAGAGAGCCGTGGCTCCCAACCCGCCGCTTCAGCACAAGTCCCAGCATTCACAGTCTAAGCCCCAGCCTCAGCCTCTGGCTCAGCATCAGCAGCCCTCGGCGAGCCGGAGGTCCCACCGCACGCTGCCCAAAGACCAAACCCAGCTCCTGTCACTGCAGCACGACCACAGGCAGAAGGAGAAGGAGAGACAGCGGCAGAGGGAAGCGCCGGTGGCCCCAGTCCAGAAGTTATCAGTTTTTAGTGGCCACAAAGCTGCTGCTGCTGCCGCTGCTGCTGCTGCCGCTGCTGCTGCTGCAGGCTCACCTGGCCGCCCTGCAAACACCCAGCGCACCGCGGTAAACTCAGAACGCTTTATCATGTCTGAAACACACTTACATTTCCTCTCTAGGTTCATAGGAACTCCGATTTCTTTCTGTATTCTACCTCACTCACCAAACACTCCCCTCTGCTCCCAATGAATCCTAAATTCTGCAGAAAAACAGAAGGAATAGAGAGATTTTGAATTCAAAGAGGAAGTGGTTGCTGCAGCGTCTGCGTGTGAGCCAATGGAAACAGTCAGGGCTCTGCTGTGAAGCTGATGATTTCATCTGGTCAGGATATTTTTCATGCCAGTGAACGCAGACACACACTGACTGTTTGTCTGGTGTTTCAACACGTGTTTTTTCTTTTTTTTTTTTTTTTTTTTAACCTCCATTCTTATCTCCTCTGCAAAACCAGACAGGAACTGTTTACTGCTGAAAAAAATAAAAAAACAACAAACACTTTTCAATTTTCAGAAGCATTTATCTCCAGACACCTGTTACAGGAATCAACGTTTTGCTCCCAGTGTAATGTCTTACAGGATTTGTTTACTTTATCTGCAAAGTAGCATGGATTGGAAAAAAAACATTAACTTCTGACTCCTATCCACATGCTGATGTAAAAAGAATTATAAGCTAGAAATATATAGGTCTTAAAACAACACCAATAGGCTGAGTTATAAATAATCCTAACACCCTTCATTACAGTGTCTTGCAGAAGTTTCCATCCTCTTTTTGTGGTTTCACACTGCAGTGCCAGACCTCATGTATTTTATGCGACACTGTTGTGAAATGGAAAGAGAAGTCAATTATAGTTTCAATTTTTATTTCACAAATTCAAATCTGAGATGTACAATATGCATTATTCCCAGAGCCCTTTCGTCTAATACTCCTGAATAAAATTAAATTCATTTGAAAAATGTAAGTTTACCTCAGATCCATTAATTGCAGGTTGTTGTTGTTGTTTTTTTTCTCGTGGTAGGATCTGTATAGTTTTTTTTCTATCTGGCAAAAGTTTGAGTTGCCCCCAGGCGTCTTCTTTGCATTCTGTGACTGAAGGCAGGTCTTTAATTTTGCCTTGACGACTATTTAATCTCATGTTTATGAGGTGTTTTTTTTCGCGTGACTTGATTTTATTTTTTTGTTTTTTTTCTTGAGAGACTTTCTGTCAGGCAAAGGTTTGAGTCACACTCAGACATCTTAATTGCCTTCTGTAACTTGAGACAATTGAGGCTACCTTAGCTAGCTAGCTAGTTTTTTGCGTCTATCGTGATTAAGTGTAACTTTATCTATTTGTACATTTCTATGGAGATGCAGGTCTTAAACTCCATTTATAGTAGTCATTTTGACTGACTCAGTGCACGCACACTGGGAAAGAGAGAAGTCTTAAAGGGATTGTTAATCTGGTTTCAGATGGAGCTCCAGGAATCCCAGTTGGCCAGGGTGCTGCTGGCTGCCGGGCTTCCCAGTCAAATGCACTCCAGGCTGGGCTCTGGAAGCAACTCCAGTCCTTGTACCCCCGCCATGCAGAGAGCTCACTTCAGCCAGGTACGCACACCCACACACAAGAATTTCGTGGCTTTAAGTGATCGTTTATTTGGACTAAACTTTATAAATAATCCCCCAGAATGCCAATCTCATGTCCAGCCGCGACGCCCCTCACAGCAGCTCGATGTCAGACATGGCCATCTCCCCGCTGTCCCCTTTCTCCCCCGTGTCCCCGACCGATGACGTCTTCTGGGACTCCGAGGCCCCACCTAAAGTGAGTATCATCTGCCATTGGCTCTCCAGCGACGCAGTCGGGGTTTCCTCGCCAGCAGGTCCGGCGGCCGGCTCCAATGAGCCGTAAAACCCAACAGATGTGGGATTTGTTTTGTTCCGCCGGCCGCCACAAGAACAGGAAGTCGTCGTGTTTTGGCACGCCAGTCACAGGACGTCGCTTGCATCACACAGGCACCAGCGAATGCTTTGTGCGTCTTGTGTTCCAGTCATACAGCGATGAGGAAGTGCCACTCACAGGACGGGTTCAGTGTAATTTAGCTGCGAACGCTCGCACTGTACAAAAAACCACATCATTCAGTCTTCTCCCCCCAGTATGTGGTCTACAAATACGGCTGCATGTAAAGTCACCAACCAAACTCTATAAGGAGATAATAAATAAACTAATAACTGCAACAGGGAGCGCTTGCTGTTGTGTTGCTGAACTAACGGGAACGCATATGGAGCTGATGGAGCGTTTAATAAGTCAATGCTCTCTCTTACACCGTGGAGGTTGTACGAAACCAGCAGCAGGGTTATGAAAACACTTTCTTCAGGGGGATCAGCTGCATAAAGAATCCTAAAAGTCTAAAGTGAAACAATTTAGCAGCTGAACAGTCTTCTGCTCCTGCCTTAAAGACATTCTCACAAAATCCCCACTAAGGCGTTTTGTAATCTTCAACAACAAAGAAAAGAAGTGTCGCTCTAACCTGCATGTGTAGTTGGACAGAAAGCAGAAAATACCCTGTTTGCTTTGTGTGTGTGAGCTTGTGTGTGTGAGCATGTGTGTGTGTGTGTGTGTGTGTGTGTGTGTGTGTGTGTGGAGGGTGCGGGCAACTTGTAAGAGGGATTATAGGTATTCCCGCAGCTCTTTTCCTGCACTGTCGGGCGTGTCTTCCTCTTTGTTAGCGTGTCATGTGACCCAGGACGCAGGCGGTCAGAAGGTCGCCTGCTGGTGGCCCAGATAGACAATTTTATTGAAATCAGAAGCTGAAAGTAGGTTGTTTTAAATAATTACATGATATAATTTGATGTATTTTACATGGCAGACCAACACAAAGTCGTTCATAATTTCAAACTGGGAGGTATTTCAATATGTTTTTTTTTTTTTTTTTTTTTTTTTCTAATATTTTTTTTAAAAGTGGGGTGCCTTTGTTTTCAAACCTTAAAGTCAATATTTTGTAGAACCAAAAATTCTAAATCTCCGTTAGGGTTTTTTTGGGGGGTTTCTTTGGTTTAGGATCAAAAAGACTCTATAGAGGCTGAAAAGAGAGATTCTGAATTGAACTGCTCCTGCTAAAGGAAGGAAACCACCCAGAATAATACTGCCAAGAATATGTTTTGTGGTAAGGCTGGTTGAGTTCACAGTCATGTGGAGTGCTGATGTGTTTTTTTCCACATATAATTTTGGTCTCTCTTTACCACATGATCTTCTTCTATGTTATTTTTCTAAATAAAAAAAAATGTTGCATGTTGCAAACCCCCTGGTTTAGGATCTACATGTGCTGCAGAAATTTGTGTTTACCTTTTTTTTTTTCATTAAACCTTAATTTAACCAGATTAAAAAAAGAACAGCATTGAAATCAAGACCTCTTTCACAAGGACGACCTGTCCAGGAAAGGCAGCAGCACATGCTGTGGTGGACAAAGCAAATAGACAATGATGGCAAAAAAATTAACATTAAAAATATATAAAACACAAACAATTTGACAATAAAATGCAGTCGTCATGACGGTAATTCCACAAACCGTAGTAGACTTTCTCTACATGATATTTCTCTAACCAGTTTGTGGATTTTGCTTTTCTATCTTCCAGGTCCCAGAACGCACAACTTCAAAATTTTACTGCAGAGAGCTGGTGATGGGACACAAGAGGACGGCTTCGAGATGAAGCTCTGCTTCATGATTTCCTGAAACAAGATGTCTGAATAGATATAAAGATATTTAAATTTGATGGCACCTGTATCTTCCTGTTGCTAGATTTATTGCTGTGAAAGAAAGAGCAGGAGTTTTTGAAGAGACAGAGGCCCGATTTCAAGGCGTTAAATTACAAAGTGAAGCTTCTTTTAAGTCAGATTTCATATTTATAGCATTTTTATGATAACTGAAGGTAACATAGTTACTAGGTTTTGCTATAAAACTACACTATGTGGCTGAAAGCACATAATACTGCCCCTTTAAATGAGTGTTTTGTTCTGGGACCAGTCAGGGGTATGGTGTGTGTGTGTGTGTGTGTGTGTGTGTGTGTGTGTGTGTGAGAGAGACCTTTCAATACAGGATTTTAAAAAAAATCTGTTTTCCTTGTCTCTGCTCTAGCACATAAAATGCTATATAACCTAACTACTATTAGTTCCAGATATAATATGCATGTTATATATCTTAATTACAGTGAGCATTTAACTCCCTTTTCTTTCATTTACTTTGGACTGTATTTATTATGAGGCCATATATCACGTTCCAGCTCATATCTTTGCACCCCCTCCACCTCCCGTTGAGAGCAGCTGGCCATGAGCAGATCAGATCAGTTTAGCTGGGATGATTGCCGTGAATTAGATGAAAATAACAGTGAGGAAATGGGGCCTCTGCACTGACAGCGTGAAGGATTTGTTTTAGATTGTGACACAGATGTTGATCGTAACTTTTCTTCTCCCCCCCCCCCCCCCCCCCACCTTACTT